GGCATTAAGGGGCTAAAACAAGGACTGGTCGGCTCGGAGTCAGTATACTGTGTCTGAGTGGGGTATTCATGTTAAACTGCGGCATGGTATCTCAGTGGGCTAGCACTATAAATCGGCATCAGTCCAGACTAGTACAAGCAGCCACACATACACGTGCATGCACGTCGCTATATAAGTGCAATAATCTTGGACGCGACGTTAAACCCCATTTCACCTCACTTCACCACAGTATGTGGCTGTCCTGGGCAACCTTATTAACACGGGTTCGGTCTGACCTGGTCTCCGTGGTCTAATGGATTGGGCACCTGCCAGGAGAGCGGAAGGACGTTGGTTCGATCTCCGGCTGCGTCATACCAAACCACGTTAAAACATTTACTTGTTACCCTGGCCGGCTCTTGGCAGTAAGGGGATAAAAACTGGTCGGCTCTGAGTCCCTATACTGCGTGTGTGGTATCCATGTTAACTGCAGCATGGTACCTAAGTAGAGCAGAACTATAAAACCGGCATTAGACCGGATTGGGCACGCATACTGTGCAATAATCTTCAACGCGACGTAAACCCCATATCACCTCAAATGGCATGGATTCACGCAGGTATTTTACGTACGCTTCGATTTCCATATTCAGTTTGGTAACGTCAATCAAGAAAAAATACAGAAACGTGACCTGTGAACTGTGATTGGATTGTTTGACAACTGGAGATGCCCGATGATGCACAGGCGCACTTCAATACTTCACATGATTGGTTTAAGCTATATTCCCTCCTTAACATGTACGAAGGTAGCCTATTAAAAACGTACGATTTACGCCAGCACAGACCTAAAGTCCTTGAACTTTAGTTAGTTCCAAAATGGGCTTGTCGAAGTCGCTATTTCTGTGTCGTCATGACTTCATGGTTCAAAGTCGAGACTGATGGATACAGATCTCAGAGGAAGTAAGGTAATCTGGCCATGCAAAGCAGATGCTTTTTCTCTTTAAATCTCAGTCCTTTTTGTTTCTCCAATACAGCCTTTCAATAGACAAAACAAACAATTTGTTTCAAAACTTCACGGTTATAAAATGAGAACACGATTATTTAGTAGTTTGCTCTCCACCTCGGAAACATTCTGATTAATACTTTGACAAGAGTTGTGTCCCTTGATCCGATCAGTTTACTTGTGACGTTCCGACATCAAACTTGAATGTAGTAACTTTCATGTCACATATAAATGACAAAGAATAAAACATAATTAGTTTTATATTTATTCTTGTGAGAAGCATGAAGCCACCACATCAAAGATTTTCAAAACTTAACAACAATTTAATGGAAATGTTCTTCCCAACCATAATGAAAAACTAAAACCATGCAGATAAACACAAGTTACCTTTGAATTAGAACAGTTTTCATTTCAAGATGATCAGTAGCCATAGCAACCACCATAAAATACAATATTACAGAGTTTACACATTTTATAGGACTCCTAAAAGCTCTTACCTCAAGCTCAACCCAGTGGTCGTGTCTGTGTGTACTGATACAACAATACAAGATGATGAAAAATACCTCATTTCTGAGGTGACACAATATCTTATGGACCACACCCAGTTGTAAAAGTAAATCCAACCTTTCTGTACAACAGACGAAAGTCAAATCACTTCTTGAATACATATATATTATGAAGATATTTCTTTTCCAATAAATTCCAACAGCCTGTGACCATGGTCGTAACTTTGATTTAAACCAATCAGTCGTGTCCTCAGAGAACATATATTGTATAAAACCACACCAAGACAACTGATGATGTGATGAATGGAGCAGGATGAGAATATAAAACATAAGTAACACAGGTATGCCATACTGTTACCATGGTTACTGTTACTATACCTGGCAGGGCTCAATTCAACTATATAGAACATGCACCAGAGAAACCTATTATTGAAAAGTGCAGCCTAATATTTATGTCTAAATACACCAAGTGCAAGAATAAATAATTAAATTTGTCTGTGACACTCTTCCACACAACAGCAGTGTTAGAAATTGGCACTAGTCCTGTAGTCCTTGCCAAACTGCCCAATAGTTAAGGTATCATAAGGACTAGTAGAAATTTGCCATTTTCAAGGGTCTTGCTACATGTTATCATTATAAGGACTAGTGGACAAAATATATTAGTTTCTACCCCTGAACAGCAACCTTTTAACATACTCAATACCTCCAAGCTTCATGTACCAAACTACATCACCTATCCTTGTGTTATGTGTAATTTGTCATGATTTCTTGGACTTAACGTTATCGAACCAAGATCTGAGATATTATTTAATTAGACAAGTTTATGCATCTGTCATGTCTATATTTCAAATCATGTAAATTTATGGGACGGGGTGCAACCTGGTTTTATCTGGTGCTACTAGGTTTTCGTGTCACAATGCACCTGGTGCAAGTGAAATCAGTTCCTTAAATTGAGCCCTGCCTGGTACACGTTGTGTACTGGTTGCCCAATAACTTATCATAAGCAAACCATGGATGTTTATCAATCTTCTACTGATGTTCACTGGAAAAATACCGTAATACAAATGATAATGTAGTCTGCCCAGAACATAGGAGTCTACTTGCCCTAGCAAAGCTCTCTGCATCACTTTCAGTCAACGTTAGTGTTACCATAGATGGCTATTAGGGACTGGTCATGGGCTGGTGGGATTGGGGAAGGATGTGTCATGACAAAATGACAGCAAAAGATTGGGGTGTCACCTAAATTTAACACAATAGTGGGTGGGGTGGGGTGTGGAGGGGCATGTTCAAATATTTTTTCACAAATTGGAATAACTGCAAAATATCATACAATCCTAAAACTAATCTCACCAGTCCATTCAGTCCTTTAGCTCAGCTTACACTTCCGACAGAACTTGACCACAGGCTAAAGCTGTATCGGTCAGCCTCTTTTTTAACTCGGTTAAACTAGGTTTTTAAACAGCTGACCTGACATTTCACAAATGTGGAATAATCTTTCCAAACATCAGTCATAAAAGAGTCCAAAGTATATCAATGTCATGAACAGAATCACATCACCTCCTTGATACTCATGTTCGAAACTCAGCATGATTAAGTTCTGTATTTCTATTTCACTCTAACATACTTTTCAAGACATCACCTTCAAAAGTTTTCTGCAATTAATACTTCAGACACAAACTTCAAACTTCATTTTGTCCCCATGTCTTGAAGGTGTTTTCATGATTCTGACTGATCATGTTAGTGAGTGAGTGAGTGAGTTTGGTTTTACGCCGCTTTTAGCAATATTCCAGCAATATCACGGCGGGGGACACCAGAAATGGGCTTCACACATTGTACCTATGTCGGGATTCGACCCGGGGTCTTCGGCGTGACGAGCGAACGCTTTAACCACTAGGCTACCCGACCGCCCCCTGATCATGTTAACACTGAAAGTCACAATAAATCCAACAGTAAAGTAATAATGATAACAATCATATGGTTATGGTGGCAGATCATGAATTGACAAAATAAAAATAGCTACATATCCATAAATATTATTATGACAGGTAATTAAATGTATCAAGCTATCACAACTGCCCATAAATACACTGAAGGCCATGACTCCACGATCAGCAGATATTCATCTAATCATTATTCAACAATGTTTGTTTTTTTGTTTTTTTGTTGTTTAATGCCGCACTCATCAATATTACCGCTATATGACGGCGGTCTGTAAATAATCAAGTCTGGATCAGACAATCAGGTGATTGACATCATGAGCATCGATCTGTGCAATTGGGATGCGATGACATGCATCAACCAAGTCAGTGAGCCTGACCACCCGATCCCGTGAGTCACTTCTTACGACAAGCATGGTCATTTTAAATTATCAATTTCATCACAATCAGGATATTCAAATTCAGCAAGGGTTTTAATATCAGGATATTAAATATAGTATTATTAAATATTGAATGATGAAATGTTATTTATCCATCTGAAAAAATAAAGTCCACATTTCAATGAGCAGTCTGCCAATTAGGCAAATGTACAGCAGAATCTTTAGATGACTCTCAGTTTTATTTTGAATCCTTAGTTGATTGTTAACAGTATCAAAACATTTCTTCCAAAAAAGTAAAAGTTACGGTTATATTAACAGCCAAAAAGACCTTTGAGTCTACGAGCCCAAATCTTTCAACATTATTTTCTACATTTTCAGTAGATGTCACGGGTTAACATGGTTCATGCATGAGTGAGTGAGTATGGTTTTACGCCGCTTTTAGCAATATTCAAGCAATATCACAGCGGGGGACACCAGAAATGGGCATCACACATTGTACCCATGTACAGAATGTAGAATCGAACCCAGGTCTTCGGCGTGACGAGCGAACACTTTAACCACTAGGCTACCCGACTGCCCTGGTTAATGATGAACCTTTCCTAGTTAAACTCACAGGACCAAAAGCAATTTTACTTGACCTGGGCTTTGGACAAGTGGAAAAAAGTCACAGACTCTATTAACAAGGATTAAACAAAATGAGTGAGTGAGTTTGGGTTTAACGTCGCTTTAACAGTATTTCAGTTACGTTACAGCATGTCAATTTGATGTGTGAGGAAAGCCTGAAGTGATGCAGGTTTGAGATGTTTACCACTGCACGTGTGGTGCTGACAAACCTAGAAACACAACCAGGGCGAACACACATCCAGTATCAAAGTTTTCAGGCATGCCTAAGAGACACACCTCTCCACAAAATGAACGTCAACACAAAATGAACGAACATGTGGAGGTGTGACATCCTGTACCCACATTGCCATGATTGTAGGATCTAGTAACCCTTTATGTTTCTCTTTGGTTTCCACACAACCATAATATCGTTGTCTTGATGAGAGTACTTACTAACTTAAGTGTGAGTCAGTTGGGTTTAACGCCGCTTTTAACAGTATTCCAGTTATATCACGGCGTGTCACCTTAATGTGGGAGGAAAGCCCGAAGTGATGCAGGTCTCAGATGTTAACCACTTCGGTGAAACCCACGAGCACATAGAAACATAATCGGGGCGAACCGGGATTCAAACCCACAATCATAGGTTTCTGGCATGTCCAAGGGATGCAACTCTGAACAGCGAATTGCGGCGCCTTAGACGACTGGGCCACCCGTGCCCCCTACTAAATTAAGAATAATGGCACAAGTCAGAATAAAATATCAACTACAAGCTGGATGATTTGTACAGGAAACTGCACACTGCGACTGACAATGTCAACTGTTACATAAAATAGATATACTCTCTGCAAAGAAGTTGTGTTAATCGTAACTAATATCTTTCATCTGCATAGCATTATCTTCACACCATGGAACAAAAAATCCTCCTGAATGTAAAAGAAATCACATTCCACATCTTCAGGAAGATTCACTGGAGTTTCTGTTTCATCTACGGATGGGATGAAGCAATTGTATTTATACCCCAATCACCACATCCAGAACACACCTGACCACCACTGAACATCGGACGGGGCATACATCTCTCAGTTGTGGTGTAGGAACCAGTCGGACCTGCAACAACTAGAAACAATTCCTTCTATCTGATGTCCTGGTCACTTAGCCTTGATGTAAGATCCTTGACCGAGGAAGCTCGGATGAGGTGGCCTATTTCCTAGAGATGGGAAATCCCCAGGTCCACCATGCTCCGAAATGTGCCAATCAAAGTCTTTCTGAAGCAGAACCTGCCGGCAAGTCGGACACAATTTGAACTCGGGGGAGGAACTCCATGGTGCTTTGGTGCTCTTCCCACTGATCCTGAGAACACTGGATCTGGGCTCAGACTTGCAGGCCTCCCTGTGGACAGACAGCAGCTCCTGTTGCTTGCTGATGTCGGGCAGAAGAGCAATCAGCTCAGGAATAATCATGTCAAAGTTTTCCTGGTCAAGCAATTCCTGACAACTCTTATAGTACTCCGCAGCATTCATAGACCCTTGGCGGAAGCTCCCAGAGTAGGCCTTGAACTTGTTAAACTTGTCGTGATCGTTGCACAACAAGATGGACACATTCTGGACAAGCTCCTTGTTCCGCTCAGAAAAGTTTTTGGGTTTTGAAAACACAAAGTTGTCCACCTCTGGTGCAAGGGGAGCATTTTTCTTCTTGCTGCTCTGATCACTGGACTGAGAAGAAAAGCCGGGAGGGGGTCTGGCACCTGACGTCTTGGCACCTGACGTCTTGGCACCCAATATCTTGCCACCGAACCCTGGAGGGATAGCACTAGAGAAGCCTGGAGGTGGTGCGGCTAAGGAGGAAGGAGAATTGAGAGCTGGGAAATCATCCAGAACTGGTTGTTTCTGATCACTGTTGAAGCCATTTGTGACAGTCCCTGAAGCACCAACAGCCATGTTCCCACCAAGCAAACCAACAGCAATACCCTCCAAGGAACCATTTGTAGCCCCAGTGTTGGAGGAGTAGGACGGTGTCGATGCAGGCTGGACCATGTCTACAGCCGCAGCCGTCACCGTCTCAGTCTTTGTAGATGCACATCTTGGATATTCATCTGCCTTAAATGGTGTTGATGCATCAACTGACCCGCTCGAGGACTCAATCCCTGAATCTCTATCATTCTGTTCACTGAACATTTTAGCCACTGGATCAGAACTCTTCGACTTTTTGGACTTTTTGTCCTTTCCCGAATCAGCAGAGGCAGGTTTAACCAATGTCTGTTCTTTCTGATCATTTTGTTTTTTCTTTTTCTTATTTTTCTTTGACGAAACATCTTCAAAAGAATCAGCACTTGCAAGAGGAGGTTCTTTATCTCTAGTTTTAGGTGGTGGCACTTTCACCGTGTTCTGAGATTGTGAGTTACTGTTACTAGTTTTAGATTTTGCACTAAGTTTCTGTGACTTCTTCGAAACTGGAGCAGAGAAAGGACGATCACATAAACTAAACCCAACTGAAGCAAGTGAAGTAGGAACGCTCTGTTGCGGTTTATTGTTTGTAGTAGTGTCCATCTGTATCTCATTTTTCTTAGATTTACCAGACCACACCCCTAAACTCATGAGACTAACATTACTATCATTCTTAGGTCGACTAACTCCGCCACCTAATGAAGGAAAGTCATCGGAAGTCTTCATTGGCATTCGTTTTTGCACAACATGGTCATTTTTCTTGATGGAGTCCATAACACTCTGGGGAACAGTCTGAATGTTACTTGAAGGAACTACACTTGTCTGAACAGGGTTCTGTACTGGCGAGTCCCTCCCCGAGGAATTACAATGTGACATTTTCTGAGACGAAGAACTAGACAATCCACCACCTAGGGAAGGATACTCTGTGGAGTTGAGACGACCTGGAGCTTTTATTCTATTGGACATAGGCTGTGATTTAGGGTCTTTGGCATGTGACTGTTTTTTGTTAGTTTTGCCTACATTTGCAGGGACAATGGAGGGAACAGGGGCATTGCCAGACAAGGACGGGAAGTCTCTTTCTATAGATTTCAGCTCCATCTTCAACCGTTCCTCCTCCAGTCTTGCTGCCTCGATTTCCTGGGCTTCATGGCGTTTCCTCTCCACCTCTCTCATCTCCTTCTCTGTCGCCCTCAACGACTCCTGCATGGAGGCTTCCCTGGCTCTCTCCATCTGTGCTCTCTCCTCACGCTCCCTGTAACACAAGCAGCAGAATCAAACAAGTGTTTCTCTTTCTCCATAACATCGGCCATTATATGTTATGTAGAAATGGCCCCTACAGACAAATGACAGAGCTGTAATGAGCCCTACAAGCACCTCTTTTGTAGGTGGAATGTTTTACAGTAACGTTCAAACCATGTCACCTGCCAGTAAATAACCAGGTGGTCTGGACCAGGGAAACTGGTGGGTGGTATCATCCATGCTTCCTAGGGACATGGACACACAATCATAAATGTTTTCTGATGCATGGTTAGAGGGCACCTATTGTGCTCCCAGGCCCCCAAATCCCTCCAGGCACAAGCATTTATATAGGGTTGAGGGAACTAACCTTCCTGAATCCTGGCCACGATAACCTCTTCCTCTATACCCACGACCTTGACCTTGACCTTGACCTCTGCTGGAGGTATCTTCATAGTCCTCACTTGTCACACTACCAACTCCTGCAAAACATACATAATCATACAGTACCAGCTGATAAAATACTGCTCATTTTACAGATCAACCCTCACATCCACTTCAATTTTTGTTTGTTCCAAGTTTCATCACTATCTACATATAGGGTATGGATTATCTTCACAAAAATTAAACACATTTTTACCTCGACCTCTGTCTCGACCTCTGGCCCGTGGAGGCAGCTGGAAGTTGACGTCCAGAGTGCGGGTCTCCTTGTACTGGGCCTTGTTGAGTCGCTGATGGTGCTCCTTGGCAATATGGGCCTTCATGTCAATCTCTGAGCGGAACACGTTGGTGAACTGTACACCGATGCAGTGGTCCATCTCACACATATAGTGTCTTTCTCGGAAATGTTGCTTCAGGTCTGCATAATCGCTGTAGGAACAAAATGTCATAAGGTGAGAACATCAGTAAACAGCAGCATTTTGTTCAAGCATCGGGTGTTCTGAAGTCATAAGACATAAGAAGGCAATATGTACACCATATTCCCCGAGTATGACCAGATGACACAACAGGCCACTGATGTACGGAAATGTCAGGGTTTGTAATTCAAGCAAGTCTTGTAACTATGGCTTTGTAACATTGACAAGTACAAACAGTATTAATCTTTGTAAAAAAAAATAATACCATGAACACTAGCCTGAATTTTGCCATTTTTCTGATACGATTAAGTTCTAGAAATCTCACCAGACTCAGGCTAGTGGAAGTCACAGCAGCATTTTAATTGATATATTGAATATGATATTGATTTCAGGGGTAGTTAGACCTGTTAAAGAACATTATTGTTTTCACAAATGTTTAAATATATCTATGGTGCTGGAGAGGTAATTTCAACTCAGCAGCCTACGTGAGTGAGAGTTGGGTTTAACGCCGCTTTTAACAGTATTCCAGTTATATCGCGACATGTCAGCTTAATGTGGGAGGAAAGCAGGTCTCAGACGTTTACCACTTTGGTGAAACCCACGAACATGGGTATGGTGCTGACAAACCTAGAAACATCATCAGGGCAAACCGGAATTCGAACCCACAATCATGGGTTTCTGGCGTGCCAAAGGGACACAACTCTGCACAGCGAATCGCGGCGCCTAAGATGACTGTGCCAACTGTGCCCCTCCAGCCTACATGATATCTGACACAAAACACTCAACACTTTTAGTAACAATCCGTTTTAGAAAACTGACTATTTCAATTTATTGCATGCTCACTTGTAGTATTCATTGGACTGTTCATCGCAGAAGTGACAGAAGTAGTGGTCTTTCCTCAAGTGGCGATGGAGTTCATCTTTATCCATGTAGCGCTCATCACAGAAGTGACAAAGAGGATGACCTTTGTAAGATCTGTCATCTTCGTCCCCTGTACGTCGGTGGGAGGCCAGATCACGACGGTTGTAAAATTTCCTCTCAAAGGAGAAAAGCTGAAAACAAAATAGTTGCACTTTCAGAATTCATTGATTCACAAGGTCCCCCTGAAATATTTTGGCTTTCCAGTTTCTCAACCGACCCTTATCTGGAGCCCATGGCCCTAACCCAGATTTCTTGTTTCTTCTCAAGATGCACCGTGTCATGTATCACCAACCTGGTGTTGCCCGTGTTGGCCACTAGAGGAATCTATTGTGCTACGTTTAGATACAAAAGTTACTACCTCCACACGAGGCAAGGGTGTCCACTATCATATATCAAAGCCTAGTTTCTACCCTTCCATGTCAAGTCTACTTTTCTCGGCTCAAACGTAGTGCCACCCTGTGTTGAACACTAGTTGTGTCCTCTGTGGTGAAAACGTGAAATCTACTCAGATTGTACTGCAGTACTGCATATCAATTTCTGTAATAAGCATTCAGTCGTTCGGGGTAAAAATAACAACGAAATTTGCACTCAAATACAAAAAAGTATGTGGGCAAGTTGACTGGAAATTTTGAACCACTTAACTTAATTTGTTTAATAATTTCAGCACAAATTCTACAGGAGATGGCTGTCAGCCATAGCAGCAACCACGTTTTCGGAACAAGGATGTTGATTTTGCAAAACATTCTTCAATTGGACTATCGATATATACAAGAGTCCACTCATATTATAGCACAGAAAAGTGGTCTTGAAAAGTTGGTTGGTTGGTTTGTTGTTTAACGCCACACTCAGCAATATTCCAGCTATAGGACGGTGGTCTGTAAATAATCAAGTCTAGGGCAGACAATCCAGTGATTGATATGATGAGCATTGATCCATGAAAAGGCAAGGGTGGAACTAGACTTTGATAAGGGCTACTGGACACCCTTGCCCTGGGATGATGAAGTCTATGAAGGTCAATGCAAAATATAGCAGCATACATTAGATGCAAGCTTTCCTTTCTGTCCACCTCACCTTCAGGTGTTTCAAACACAGGTCACAACAAAACAGTGTGTGCTCCTTCCTCATGTGATCCTTGAGGGCATAGAATGTCTTTTCAGAAGGGCGGTCCATACAGACTTTACACTTGTACTCTTGCAAATTGCGGTAGGTTTTCTCCACATTTTCATCTTCAAACAGGATCTTATACTTTGGTTGACGGATAAAGTTTCTTCGAACAATGCTTGAGAACTTGGCTTGTGTCTTCACAAACAGAACCTGTAAAATGGATGATTTATTTAAAGGAGGATCTTGAATTTATACCACGATATACATGATATATAATAAACACAAGTAGACATATTAGACAAAGTAGACAAAAAACTGCAAAGATAGTGTTGACAAACCTAGAAACATAATTGCGTAAATTTGTACCCACAATCATAGATTTCTGGCGTTCATCATGTTCATACTGCAATGAACTCACACCAAGAGAATGTCAGTTACTAACAAATAAAATGCCTTCACGATGTCAGCATTACATTATTTATTATAAAGTTGATGAAAAACTAACAATAAATTTATTCAGGCCTCATCATGACTATATATAGCATACGGCTTTCACAAAATGAGGAAACATTTCATTCATTGACATTGGAAACATCACAAACTAAAATATACGCCATGTAAACAAGCTAAGAGAATAATTTCAGCAACATACTTAATTTTCCTTGGTTTAACCATATAAACCAACAATACCAAAGATTTTATCTCATTGAAAAAAACTCTACTATCAGTTTGAAAAGGAAAGTGTGTTATTGGGAATGATGATGCAATATGGACATCTTATCTTTCCTCTTCTATAGGCATGATATTGACAAGGATATAAATGTTAAACATGGTATTAATAGTTAAAATGTATATGAATAGTTAATGGATACGTGGCTTGGGCTTCTTATCAATATTATGTGTTTACAAACATGATTTTAACATCTGCGAACATTGTCCAAGTGGCTTCATATTTGCCACGTTAATAGTTCAAGTATATTCGTTGGTAGGGTAGGGTGTATCAAAATTCTGAAATAGGGTAAGCAGACAGGTTATATAATTTAGAAGTTTGGTCATATAAGAAAAAAACCGCTTCATATATTTACCTCTGGTAGATCGGTTCTACAGATGGCACAATACATTTGTTCACACAGTACCCTCATTCTCGTGGAACACTTAAAACAGATAGGGTGATCACATAACCCAATGGCGAAAACAGAAATCTTCTCGTGGCAAACCGAACATGTGTTGTCTTGTGTATCCATCTTGTTTTCCAACAACTCCCCAAATCAGGTGATAAAATAAATATAAACGCGCTATAAGATGCGTAGTGAAATAATATGTGGCAAATCTAGGTCTCTCTAATTCCTCAGGTATGTGTTACAAAAGCATCTGACAAACTTTTTATAGGTTGACTTTCCGGTCCCTGTCGTGGAGTTGTGCAATGTGTGTAATACGTCATTATTTATGCGGGAAGATAATCTGAGAAACTTGTTAATTATCTCTATATCTTGTGAAATACTAACATTATATTCTGATAGATCAATAGTTGATCAAATTATTATAATAAAGTAAATTTTATAACAACTTACGTTCATTAGCAGGTACGCGTAATTTGTGACGTCATCAATTCATGTATGCGCATTATTTTGAGAGCAACATGTCGGACAACCAACAAGGAGCGATTGGAACTGCGTACGGGGCAGGAAAGGCCGGTGCACCTTTCGATCCGTTAGTGTACATTAAAAAGCCTCAAGTAATTCTCAGGCTAGTTAGTTTGGTAAGTGATGCAAATTATCATGTTCGTGGACAGACTGTTTTTATCGAAATGTTCATTGCCTTTAGTTTATTGATCGACTCCAGAGATGGGAAAGCTCAGCATAGGTCACTGTGCTGCCTATAGTTCTGCATTCATTGTACTCTTGATTTGGCAGGGTGAATTAGCATTGTTACATTGAAAAGCACTGTTGTCGTTTGTGTCAACCTTCGAGCATTTTGGGGTACTGTATTTTGTTTTATATTGCGAACAAGTCGAGTCGATAGGCATCCATGTTTCAACCTGAATGATTAAGGTTAATGAACAGCGATGTCTAAGACACTATAACCATACTAGTCCTCGTATAGTCTTGTATGTATGTCAGACATGACAAGTTATGACATATATTTGTATTTATTATGACATATGGCAGATAAATATCGAGAAAACATTAAATGAGAACAAAAATGGTGATCTCTTCTAGGTACACCTGGTCATATGATAATGAGTCACATTTATTTTTGAAAACAAGATCTTCCAAAAATAACTTAGGCCAGACATACATGTTCTGATTACATCCTTTTGGTTATGTAAACATACTTTTTTTCTCATTGCAAATGTTTGGGTAAGTTTCAGTGTTTATTTCACTCAGCTGTGGTGCAATATTAACCTGGTAACCAGAGTATTATTTGTCCAGCTGTGATTATCTCCCTTGCTCTTTATTTCCTTGTAAAAGGAATGCATATATTGTCCTGTATCACCTTTGGGGATTTCTGATACATTTCTACTGACATTATCTGTGTATTCTCTGACTAAATTTTTGCAAATTAGATCAACTGTTTCTCTGTGATCACCTCATCTCAGTTCATAACATAATTATTAAAAGTGTAGGATGCAAGTAGCTATGTACGTCACAGATGTCAGAGTTTGTCAAAGTATGATGTAATTACAATCAAACACCACAGTTTCTGTCGCTTACCTTATCAATCAAATTTGAATTATCTTAGACAAGAATATATATGCTTCAGTAGTTTGAGATACAAAGCAGAACACAGCATAAACATGATAATGTTAGTCTCAGCGACGTGCTAGCAGTTTAATGTCTATGCTTTAACCTGTACTCACTAAAGCATATGCTACTTTTCTAAAGAAAACATGCACTGTTTGATCAACTTGGCTTCATGATCTAGAGCCCTTTCCCTTTGTGAAGAAGCGAGTTTATGAATGGTAAAAAAATTGAAGTTGTTATGAGGTGGTATTTTGTTGCCATTATTATATAGAGTAATGAGGGAAATAGATTTTAAGGGAATTTCAATCTGTTCCCTTATTGCCCAAGGTCAATCTGTTTACAACAAAATTATTATGATGGTATGATTATAGTTTCATGTTGGGCACGGGTGACCCAGTCGTCTGAGGCTCCGCGATTCGCTGTGCGGAGTTGCATCCCAGAAACATATGATTATGGGTTCAAATCCCAGTTCGCCCCAATTATGTTTCTAGGTTTGTCAGCACCATACCCGTGCTCGTGGGTTTCACCGAAGTGGTAAACGTCTGAGACCTGCATCACTTCGGTCTTTCCTCACACATTAAGCTGACACGATATAACTGGAATACTGTTAAAAGTGGCGTAAAGCCCAACTCACTCATGTTGGTCAACATAGTAAAGTGTGGGGTGGTCAGTACTGATTGCCTGGTGTGTGTGTGAGCCATGATTTTAGCTAATTTGAACAAATTAATCTGTATTGATAATTACAGAGTTTCATATGGCCATCAGCCACCGGTCATAGACTGATAAAATTCCAATTTGTCAGGTGGTTTGTTTAAGTAGTCAGACTTTTGACTGATGGAAATTCTAAGCAGGCATCACATGTTTCATAATTCTACAGTAAGTAGTAAGGATTAGTCCTACTTGCAGTATGAATTTAATAAAACAGTGCACAGCTGTCAAAATTTGTTATTGAAATATTGAAAGTCTTTGCATCATACTTTCTGTATCATAGGGAAATGCTGTCAGGAGCTATAGTGACTTAGTCAAGTGCTTTTCTTACTGCAGTGTTTATGGGCCAGGTGGTTTATATTCATCCAATAATGAACAGTATTGCATTAATTTGTTGTTATGGTTCTTCCACCTTTTTTGTTGATTTGACTTACTGACTTTTGCCACTGACTTCTTACATTTCTTGAGTCCAAGTCATTGCCCTATAAAACAGTTTTTTGTATCAAAATCAAAGAATTAGGTGTGCTAGGTAAACTTTTTGTGGTCCACAGACTGTTGCTAGTTCAATTTTGTTTGACTTAGTACGTTCAGCTATCATCCTGAACAAAATCCATATATTAATTCTGAACTGTACCGTCATGATGCCAAGAGACAATCAATATGTTTCATCAAGAACATCATGTCAACATTATTTTGGTGTATAAATCAATTGATAAAGATAAGATCATTAGGCCAGGTAATTAAAAAGCATTTGGTTAAGGTAGTTGACCTGGTGATAGAACTTTGAAGATGTCACCATAAGGAAGATATATTACGGTAATTAGTTTTTTTAATCACTAAGTTTATCCTGATCAGATATTTAAACTGTGAGTCACAACAAATATTATAATTCATTTATACCGGTAAACACATGTTGTCATGGTTATATAAAGAATATCTTATGACAGATGTAAAAGATAATATGATTTTTCCTGTCAGTGAACGAAAGCATGCATGCTGATCAAACGATTCATTTGGGATTGTTTAAGGATGTTCGCTGGACTGTATTAGGAGTTTTAATCTTCTTTTTTTCTGCGGTTTAATTGATCGTGATTGATTATATCTGTCTGCCCAGATTAGAAGAGAAGGGTGTCATTGTGTATTCTATTGCACACTGTTTAACTACATGTCAGTGTCCCATTATTGAGAGGCAGATATGATATAAGGAAGGTGCTAATCCCAATAATCCCTATCACATAATGTGTATTCCCAAACATTATTACTGAAATTCACTAAATTAGAAAATAGACAGATCCCAGGTGATCACCAAGGCCCGCTTGCACAAAGCGATCTTAGCGCTAAGATGATCGTAACTCCCATACTTTAACATAGGCTTACAATAGTCGTAGCACTAAGATCGCTTTGTGCAAGTGGGCCCTGGTCATAGTTTAACATGTTTAAAGAACTTTGTGGTGCTACTCCCATTAATTTTTGTCTTAAGCGAGATATGAGAGCTCCTGCGAAAAGGGAATTAAATAACGTTTTATTTGATATACTCGATATAAACTGCCTGTACTGTCATATTTTTTTATAGGATTTAACGTTTTGGTGTAATTTGATTAATCTAAAAACACACAAATATGACTAAACTAATATCAATACTTTCATGACCGTGTCTCATACCATTATGATGGGGGGCATTTGTGGCCCAGTCGTGTAAGGCGCTGCTGTTCACTGTGCAGAGTTACGTCCCTTTTGAACATGAGAAACCTATAATTGTGGGTTCAAATCCAAGTCCGCCCCAATTATATTTCTAGGTTTGTCAGCACTAGACCTGTGCTTGTGGGTTTCACCAAAGTGGTAAACATCTAAGACCTGTATCACTTCGGGCTTTCATCCCACATCAAGCTGACATGCCAATGCCATGATATAACTGGAATACATGTTTAAAGTTGTGTTAAATCCTACACCATCAATTATGCTAGTTATTATTGTGATGATAAACATTATTAACAGTGAGTGAGTTCCGTTTTACACCTCTTTTAACAGTATTCCAGTTATATCGCGGCATGTCAGCTTAATGTGGGAGGAAAGCCCGAAGTGATGCAGTTCTTAGACGTTTACCACTTCGGGGAAACCCACGAGCACAGGTATGGTGGTGACAAACCACTTGGGGAAACCCATGAGCACGGGTATGGTGCTGACAAACCTAGAAACATAATCGGGGCGAACCAGGATTCAAACCCACAATCATAGGTTTCTGGCGTGTTCAAAACGAACACAACTCTGCACAGCGAATCGCGGCGCCCTAGAAGACTGGGCCACCCATTCCCCCCTGACCAACACTAAACTAAAATCATACCATCATAATAATTTTGTTGTAAACAGATTGACCTTGGGCGATAAGGAAACAAAGATTGAAATTCCCTTAAAATCTATTTCCCCATTACTCTATATAATAATGGCAAAAAAATACCACCTCATAACAACTTCAATTTTTTTACCATTCATAAACTCGCTTCTTCACAAAGGGAAAGGGCTCTAGATCATGAAGCCAAGTTGATCAAACAGTGCACGTTTTTTTTTAGAAAAGAAGCATATGCTTTAGTGAGTTCAGGTTAAAGTATAAACATTATGATAGTTATTATTGTGATGATAAACATTATTAACATAATTGAGACACCAGTTCCAGACTTCTTGTATCCAGCAAAGCCTCTGTTTAAACCTGAAGCTCTTTCTTTCTTCTTTTTTTCAGTTGTTTTCAATCATCGTCTTTGGATGTATTTCATCTCTAGGATATTACAACAACACGTGTATCATAAACGCTGATGCCAATGCCTGTGGCTATGGAGTTGGCATTGGAGTGATAGCATTCTTGCTCTGTGTAGCTTTCCTGTTACTTGATGCCATCTTTGACAATCTTAGCAGTGTGCAGCATAGGAAGTATGCTGTAATTGCCGATCTCACAGCCTCAGGTCAGTATTTATGTCAGCTACAGTGAGATCCCACTTATCTTCAGATATACAGAAATCCTACCTTCCAGATATTCATTTTGAACTGGTTTTACTGACGGTCTGATAATTCATGCCACCATAAGCATGACAAGGCAATTAAGATTTCTTCCTGGTGTTAAAATCCAAAGTTTAGTTTATAAAAAAGAGGGTTGTTATAAGTCTTTAAGAAACCACAAGGTCTGGCGTGTTTAGGTATCTGGAACATTGGTTTGATGTGTTGGACACTTTGGGATTCAGATCTGTTCATACCAGTAAAAAAAATAAAAAAATTAAATACATCATTTTTAGAAAAATAATTTGAGTACACTTTGGGAATCAGATCTGTATATGCCAGTAATTCTTTTTTATTTGTTTTTAAACACATCTTTTTTAGAAGCTAGTTCGAAATAACTCAACATTAAGAATGTTTTAGTTTACACGTTTAAGAATATTGGTCCAAGAAAGCACAAGGACCCAGTCAAAATGCCATGTTCTTTTTTCAGGCAAACCATGTAAAATAAGTTTATGCCAGCTTTGATTTGTAACTACCCTTAAACCCTAGACATTGTCTTGAGTGTTCAAATGTCTCTCCATCATTCGTCCATCTATTAGCATGCTTCTCTCTCTACTAAACATCTTTATCATTTCCAATACCATGTTCTACATGTACCTGAATACAGCAAAGGATACATTTCATTTTCAAATAGGGGGGGTCGGGTAGCCTAGTGGTTAAAGCGTTCGCTCGTCACACCGAAGACCCGGGTTTGATTCCCGACATGGGTACAATGTGTGAAGCCCATTTCTGGTGTCCCCAGCCGTGATATTGCTGGAATATTGCTAAAAGCGGCGTAAAACCATACTCACTCACTCACTCATTTTTAAATATAAAAAATGGTCACTGCCACAACACATTTAGTGAAGGATATTGCTTTCGCGCCAAAGTGATCTTGACCAATGACCAAGACCACTTGGAAATCATTGCAGGATATTCATAAGGCGATCTGTTTGTTAATGTGTATTTCCACCAACCCTAAAATAAGTTAATGTCTTAAAAGAACTATTTTTGTGTGCAGCTGAATGCTGTCTTTTCACCACAAAAGACAATAGATTGCAGAAGGGTTGGGGGTGTTCATTAGACAGGCCTTGCTAACATGGCTTACCAAGCAATATGTCAAGGTACTTTTTTAAAGAACACGAAAAACATCTGAAATGTCTTTTTTACTTTACTTTTTCACTTGTGATCATGAATGAAAATTCTGTTAACCAAGGAAATAAAAAAAGTCTATCCTAACATTCATTTTACAGACTACGGTACACTTGAATGTGTTGAAGTAAGTTTCCAATTTTTGAAAACGGTGAAATCATTTGAATATCCAGTTTTGTCTATGGAAAATAAAATTGTTGTTTTTCAGCGGTATTGATTACTCCTATTAAAAACAAATTAATATTGTGCAATTTTTGTCATGGTGGTACTAGTGTTAGTGCTTGCTGTCTTGATATCATTCACATGTGTTTACATTTGTGTCATTTTTCCTTGCAGGGTTGTGGACCTTTTTGTGGTTCGTAGGTTTCTGCTATTTGACAGATGGATGGCGCCGCACTGACACCACTAATCCCAATACTTACCCAATCCATGGCCGGGGCCGCGACAATATCCAAGCTGCAATAGCCTTCTCCTTCTTCTCCATCTTTTCATGGGTGAGTTTAGGAAGTTACCATTCATTCATCATGTACCCTATTTTTATACCTCCGACAAAATGTCGGGGGTATATAGTTATACCAAGGTTCCGTCCGTCCGTCCGTCTGAAAACGTTGTCCGTGCTATTTCTCTTAAACTATTCAGTGGATTCATCTCAAACTTAGTACATATAATATGTGTCATATGGAGAAGTGCAGTCAAAAGAAAAAAATTGTTTTCATTAATTTTCCATTTTTTTATGAATTTTTCAAACCCTAACCCTATCCTAGCTATTTAATTTAATACTGACACACTAGGCGGGTAGGGGGTATTAGTGAGCCACACTCACTTTTGCACTTGTTTACTTTGTAAATGCATACATGATAATATCTCTTAACTGGTACCTGTTTTATCATACCTCCATGTGAGAATGATGAGATCTGATTGGTAAATGTGATCTTGATAAAATACTGTGTAACCTGCCATGGAGGGGAATCAATTTCTCAATTGGGGAATAAATCAATCGATCAGCTGTTTTCTCTCAATTTTGAATTTGGTTGAATTCTTTTACAATGTCGGTAAGATAAATTCGTTGTAGCAGGATCACAAAGGTTACATGGGGTTTTATGCGTCCACATTGTTGATGATTTGAGATAAGTTAATTTTTTTTTAACTACACCGGCTCGTGGTATAAAACCTAACGTGGGACGCATAAAACCCCATTTGCCTCCGGCTCATGTTATAAAACCTAGGTTATCTCAGTGGGCTAGCACTATAAAATCGGCTTTGTTCCAGACTAGTACAAGCAGCCACACACACACACATGTGCATGCACATCGCTATATATGTGCGATAATCTTGCATGCAGCGTTAAGCCAAATTTCAGCTTACCTCTTCTCCTTTCAATCCAAGGTTTGCTCGACCAAAGTTTCCAGCTGCTGCTAAAAACAAATCACCTGAATACATCCCAGCAGCACCATGGTCACCGCGACCCGTGAAGATTCCGGGGTAGAATAGGTCTTCAGCAACCCATGCTTGCCGTAAAAGGCGACTATGCTTGTCGTAAGAGGCGATTAACAGGATCGGATGGTCAGACTCGCTGACTTGGTTGATGCATGTCATCGATCCCAATTGCGTGGATCGATGCTCATGATATCAATCACTGGATTGTCTGGTCCAGACTCGATTATTTACAGACCGCCGTCATATGGCTGGAATATTGCTGAGTTCAGCGTTAAACAACAAACAAAACCAAAAAAAACCATGGTCACCGCCCCAAGCAATCCCATGCTAAGCGACATACGCAACCTGATCACGTGAATGCCCCTCCCACATCATTCTCTTACTCATCACCACCCTGTAGAAACATGTTTTTTAATAAATATCAAAATAATGAATTCATTTTTTTTTTGCATGAGCTAACTCCTCTTTGGTAATAACAACTGCAATACACATTGAAGATGTAAAGGGGAATAACCAAGATTAATGGCCGGCCTGTGTAACTTGCAGATGTTCTTTTCTTGGCTGACCCTCACAACTTTTGCTGTGATTGTCATGGTCTAAGTAAATGTTCCCAGTGTTCTCACCCCTCGGAGGAAGCCTTTCGTATTACCTACACAAATGCCATACTGTAAGTTTGATCGGTGGTCTAAATCTCAGGACATCGGACACTTGCCTTCCTCTGTTAAGAAGCCCAACATGTTATCAAGTTGGCTGTCTCCCTCACCATAACAGCCATGGAACCACCTCCTATGTCCACCATAACATCCTCATCTTTTATTTGTTTGTTGTTATCTGTTGTAGACGATAGTTTTCTTTCTGACGATGTTCCCGCCCAAACGAACCAGGCGTCTGATACTAGTGCTCTCGTTACCATGCCAATGTTAGAGCAACCTGGTCTCTTGACAGATGCACAGTTATGTCAAGGAGAGTTCATCTACGCCAGCCTTGACAGTATTGACAGTTGACCCTCCCTGTGTTCCCTGGCCGTCGGTTGTGGGTTGTTTATTGTCCCCTTCTCCGTTACAGCGAAACCACCTCCAGAAACCACCTTGCCTGCTCTATCGTTGGCCAATGACTGCGTTTCTGACAGTTTTCTTACAGTCAACTTCCCTCCTGTGCGGGTTCAACAGTCCACTACTAAGTTGCTGGGACCCCGTCTACAGAGGAACCACTAACTACATCAGACATTCGCAAGGTTCTCTCTCTCGTCAATACGTCCACACTTGCCTCGGATACGCCTTGGTTGATCCACCTAGCGCTCCTAGACTGTCCACTAACAGTTGTCTTTTTTATCTCCTGCTCCTTCACGTGATGCTCAGGTTGACAGTGATTGCTCCTCTCCGTCCAATGTTACTGGCGCTCCTCCATCGAGGATGACAAATAAGGCTTCCGCTGACACTGGGCGAAACGGGTTCAACCTCGAGTGAGGATCGACAGCATGGATCAATCTCACACTTCTTCCTTGGATCGCTGGTCCAAGAATATTCAATCACGTCTTTCCAGTTCGTAGGTCACTCTCTGGATCGCAGGTTGGGGGTTGACCCTCTTAGGATTGTCGATTATGCGATCAACCTTCTCAGGATTGACGCTCTCACACGGAAGATACCAATTCATCACATACCACTCCTCTCCGGCATGATTCAGAGGATGACTATTATACAGACTCAGCTGAGCATTTGTCAACTTTTTGTCTCTTGAACTTTCAAGTCCGAGTGAAGCACATATCTGGGATCCACAATGCCTGTGCCAACTTCCAATCCAATCCAAACCATTCGTCGTCAGTAGAATGGCGTCTCCACCCGACATTTTTTTCGGTGACACTGCCGCCTCTACCTAAGTCCAGACATTGACCGCTATGCAACCAGGTTCAATGCTCAGCTCCCAAATTTCGTCTCTCCCATCCTAGTTCTTCAGGCAAGCGACCACGACGCTCTGGCTCTGTGGGAGTATCTCAACGACCACACCTATTCCCCAAGTAGCCAAGACCATCACTTAGGCTAACTATAACTCCCCTATGAGCCTATACGGTAAATGGAATGCGTTCGAAGCCAACTGTCAAGCTCGTGATATAACCAGGCGGACTACTGCCTCCTCAACAGGTCGCCAAGTATCTGCATCATCTGAGATCAACTCTAGAACTTAAGGGCTCTACCTTAGCGATCAACCCTGTCACTGCCACTACAACCGCATCTAAGATCTCCACGGTTGCTGAGCTACAGTCCCTCATTCGTTCCTACAAGTTGTCTGACCAGTCATTTCGATTCCGGTCTCCCACTTTGGAACTTAACGTCATCATTCAGCATCTGAGCTCTGCAGGATATGAGACAAGAACTTCGAGTTGATCACCCTTAAGACAATTTTTTCTCCTTGCAATAGCTGCTAGAATGAGTGAGATCCACGCTCTAGATGTTAACCGGGTTCGGTATGAGGAAACACAGATTGGGAAGGTTTTTGTGGGACCATCATAAAGAATCAGCTTTCCAAGACACCTAAACTGTTTGTGTACCATCCTCAACCAAGATGACCATGAAGACATCTCCTTATGCCCAGTTAGCGCACTCCGCATCTACCTAGAGACACATCCATAAGAGATTCTTCATCAAGGTCTCCATGGCAGCCACCCCTGAAGTCCCGTACCACTCTCTTTTTTGCTCTGGTCGTCGATCCTCCGGGCCTATGCCTTCTCTGTATTGCCTGCTCCCGTGACATCCAATCCACATTAGTCTGGAGGGTTGTTTTTGGAAGTACGATACTATCTTCACTTACCACTTTCTTCTTGACGTCTCAGTCACCGATGTTCAGGGCGTCTCTTGGTCTCTTCAGTCTCTCAGCAGCTGTAGACTGCACATCAGTGCATTTAGTCGATGCATGTAACAGCTCCTGTTTTTTTTTAACTACATGTATCATTTTATCATGTATGTACAGAATGTATCCTGGAACTTAAGCTCCTGTGTTTATTGTATTTTCTTGGTCGGGTTCCTGAACTGAGTACTTGATGGAGGGTGTCCAAGTCGTCTTAAGCGCCGCGATTTGCTGTGCAGAGTTGTGTTCGTTTTGTCTGTTTTGTCCGTTGGACACGCCAAAAACCTATGATTATGGGTTCAAATCCCCGTTCGCCCCGTTTATGTTTCTAGGTTTGTCAGCACCATACCCGTGCTCGTGGGTTTCACCGAAGTGGTAAACGTCTGAGGCCTGCATCACTTCGGGCTTTCCTCCCACATTAAGCTGACACGCCGTGATATAACTAGAATAATTTTAAAAGCGGCGTTAAACCCAACTCACTCACTTACTAGTGGTGGATCACGATTTTTTGCCTCTCAATACAAGTTTCGATCACAGTCACACAATTAAGTATTAACAAAAGGCAACTGATGCTAGGCAACATGGATAGTTGTTAGGTGGCTGGTGTACATACACCATTCACATCCTAGAAACCTACAGTGAAACACAATTAACAGATTTACAAAGAGCCAGATAAAAGAATCATGAGTATGTAGTGATGTTCTTCACATAAAGATGTTCCCAACATTAACTGTACCACAGGTGGGCGTTTCTGGGCTGAGTAAATGTTAATGTTTCTTTCAGTAGAGTATCATCAGATTGGTCTTATGAGCTCAGCTAATAATATGTTAAGAATCTATTCAAAAGGTCCCTGAAAGACAAGAACTAACTGGCAAAAAGGATTTTGCACAGATTGTAACACAAAATCTTACGCCACGTAAAATATATCCCGATCTCATTAAGATCAGGTCTTCGTACTAGCTAATGCTACACAAAATCTGAGGACATCCCGTTACAGGTCACATCAGATCGACCTTTTACCGATCAATGAAGTGACTAACATGAAGTCAACATTAGCCAATCAGAAAGCAGCTTTCTCGATCTTTATGGCACTAGGTTCCAACTGTTGAAAATGTTTTCGATACAAAATTTGAAAACTGAACAATAGAATATTCTGGAATTTCTAATAAATGGCCGAGATTGTATGGCAGTACTTCCGACAAGCTATGAAAAGTCTAGTCTGTTTCAAATGTTCATATCATTGAAGCAAGAGACAGACAATAACTTTTACAGAATCAGTCATACAGCGAGTAACTGTCATTCGGAATACCCCATGTTAACCTTTTCAAGGTTGCATGATAAAAAAACACATTCCACATGTTGCTTTCTTGATCTGGTAAGCGATGCTGTGATTGGTCGTTCTGACGTGACCCCCATAATGGAATGTCCTGAGATCTTTGTTTAGCGGTAGCAAGCACTAACATCTGATTTTAATGATACTGAATATACTCCTGCAAAAAGATCAGGTTTTGACCTTGTTGAAACATGACAATGGCACATTGGTCTTGTATGTGTAATGACTTAAAGTTCTAGGTCTCCTACAAGGCACAAGTGTAGACATACCCTACAGTCTCGACACTGGCTTTGTTTTCTGTGATAAGTAAAAATGAAGATGTCCAGCCTCTTTGTAAACAAAGCAAGAGTGAGGTTTTACTATTTTAAGATAGGTTGACTTTGTCTGCAAAGGAATTGAACAACATGAACAAGGCATTCAGTTTTCAAATCACTTTGATGAACTGTTTTGAATCGGAATTTGTCGCTTTGCACAGTGCCCAATTGTGTTGGTTTGTGCCCTGTCAGTTTAGTAGTTATGATGATTGTTTCCGCAATTTGAAAAGTTTTGTTAATCATGATGCCAGGATCCTGTGATTGTTGGTTAGAATACCGAAATCTGGTTGTAATCCTTGTTTTGTCAGCACTCAGCTTGTGTCAAAGAAGACATTTGAACTTCGAACTGATATATAGGGATAAAAACCAACCCGTCCACTCCCTCATCTTGCTAATCATGCTGTCTGTTTTCAGGGTGCAATTACCTTCTTTGCCGTGCGTCGCTACCGCCAGGGTGCACAGGATGCCTTCACAACTGGATATGACCCTGACCCCAATGCCTCATCCCCCTACTCCTCCTTCCCTGGTAGTGACACCGGCGACCCCTACCAGCAACCCCCCTTCAGTCAGCAGAAAGAAGTCCCCGACTACCAGGCCCCAACCTACTGAGGCAGACGGCAACATGGCATCAACCAAGGCTGGCCATACTTCAGCTATCAAGTAATGCTTTAGGTGATTATTTGAAGCAAACATTTGGATGAAAAATGTCATGGATTTGAAAGACTGATTGCAGAAATCAATTGGAATTAATTATGATTACTGATTATGTTGTTATTCTCAAAACGAAAACAAGCAAACTGTTGCTGAGCCCAGTTGCATGTTTGCTTGGAAGATAAATTTAATTATTCAGCCAAATATATCCCTGATTCATTAAATTTTGTTCCATACCTTTGAGAAAGATAACGGTTTGACAACATTTGCCTGAAATATTCATTTGAAGCTGTGGTTGACCTTGTGTTTGATGAAGGACTCGGCTGAGCCAGCTTTGAGCTAGTGTATGAGAAAGGCATCAGATTGGGATAAACAGAGGTGCCAGTAACCTTGATGAAGGTGAAATTTGAGCAGTTAGATATCCTTATTCTTGCTCACATTTCAGTTGACTTATGAAGAAGTAGGACTGGCTTGACAAAGTCTAGATTGTCAGCATGAGTGTCGCTAGTTGTCCAAGTCAGTGATGGATTAGAATGTTACATTTAACTTTGGATAGCGTCAAGCCCTTTGAATCAAATTGTTTGGATTGATTTTAAGCTCTATTTAGTTTTCCAGTCATTAACAATTACAGAAGACTACAAAGGGAATTTAGAGTGACAAGCTAACTAATATCTACCGGTATATTCTTTATCGGTTATAAATCTGTATTCACGAAGCACTCCCTTACGGTTTGGTAACTTTAACTCTCAGGGTTCACACCATCACGATGTCATTAGTCAAATATGAATTGAGTAAACTGTTTATTTACTACAGTAATCAGTATTGAAGAGATTCAGCCAAGTTTCTGTTCCAACTTTGAATTGTAGATTAGTGTGGAATAATTTTGTTTTATATTTTGTTTATAGTGGCAATTATGGTTGCTTATTTACTGTAAATCTATCATAGTGCCTGATTTGTAGGTGTCATTTGTAACTGTAGCTGAATGATAGGATTGCTTGCTGACAGATTTGCATTGACGTTATTTCAAGCAAGTGTAAGCGTTGGTGTAGGATACATCAAGCGAGGGTAAACGTCAGAGCAGTTCGCACCTGACTTGATTCAAGCAAGCATAAGCTTTGAACATGTATTGGCCAGTCAAGGCAACTGACTGGTTCAAACACAAGTCACTTGTGACTTGACTTCAAGCCAGTGCAAGTGTTTGTCTTGATTCAAGCCAACATAACCATGTGACTTGACTCAAGCCACCTCAATCAGGTGTCAGAAGTTTTAGTTGTAGGTGATGTTGTCTTTTTGAAATATACTACAGTTTATAACATCCATGTACCGTACTTTTTCCATCGCACAGGGAGTCAATGCAGAATCTGTAGATGGTAGAATGGAAATCAACTGATATACTCTGAGACTTATTATGTTATGTGTATTATGTACTAGCTATTCAACATGCAAGAAAGCAGATGAAACGTGATTTTGTCAGTGTGTGCTCAAAGGCTTGCCCAAAACTATGTGGACAGATTTCTCAAGCTTTTGTTCGATCCACTTGAAGGAGATGATGAAAGTGTTATGTTGAAAAATTCTGTTTTAATTGTTTGATTTTTTTGTCCGTCCATGCTCCAACGATCTGTTCACCAGGACAGTTGTTGTTGTTGAGTTTGTTCTCATCTGCTGAAAATTACGATGTAAACATTGGGTGATGAACCGTGAGTTGATGGTCATGTTTTTCATTATTTGTTTTGATGCATGGTAGTTCAAGAGCCTGAAGCATAAGCATGTACAAATATGAATTGCTTGTTTTGAAAATTATGGATTTAAGAAGTTATTTCTGTAATTATTTTTAGTTATTTTCAGTTACATATTTTTAAAGGACCTTTTTCTTTCATTTCCCTTACAAAACCACTTCTTGAAACCATGACATAAAGACTGTTGGATTTGCATGCATTCGGATCTCTTATACTGCATAATTCAGAATATGGATGATGGATGTTTTATGTCTAGATTCTGTTTGATACAATATGAACCTGTTAAGGGAGGTGGTTATTCACTGTCCGAGCAATTAATGTGACCATTATGTATTACCAGGATTCCATATGCAGAACATGCCATAGTTGATCAAGGAAAAGCATTCATTCCATTAAGATTTAAATCATAAATGAATAAAATTAATTAGATTCACAGCCATTCAACAAAATATTTTAGAATATTATATATTATATATTATTTATATTTTTTTGCATTTAAAATTTGTCCAAAAAATCGGATGTTCTTTAACTTCATTGAGTGGTATTTGTCATCTTGTACTGCTTAAAACTGTTTGTATTGTCACTACCAGGTTCAACTGTTAAGCTCACATTTGCAGGGGTGAGAATCTTCAATGGATCTGCAGATTTCCGCAAATTTTAGTGACCACAAGTTTGTTATAATCTCACGGCTTCCCCCTAAACACCCCAAAATTATGGACCACATTCAATTGCAAAGAAGTTTCAGCTGAAAAGAAAAATCTCCATTCTCATCCCTGCATTTGTTTTGACGACTCGCCCTCCTGGAATCAGAATAGATTATCACAAATCGTTCTTAAAATCAACAAATCTTGTTATGCTTTCCAGGGTATATGATATTTGTATTCATTCCATACCATTAAGGAACTCGAAGTTCATCTTGCATTAGTATGGTGTACTTTATATGTCAAACTCTTGCTTTAAACATCTAGGTAGCAACTGTAGTGGACAAACTATCTATTGATTGTAACATTCATACTGTGAGTCTGTGTTAGTGAATTGCCTTGGTAATATGTACGGGCTGTAGGAGAATTCTGTTTTTCACAGTTCTATCCATTGTGCAAAGTGTGATGCAATAAACGACCATTCCATGTTTATCATTTACCATGTATCAGTTGTATGAATGCAGGGGTGCACAGATTGTTCTAAGTTTCCTGTTTCAATAATACTTGTCAAATATAGCCACCATATATGCCATAATAGGCTTATCCTGGGGGTACTTAAGCAATTGATGGGGGAGGGGCTTATTATAACCATACATAACTCATCGTTTTCAAATATTGGTGGTTCAACCTCGACAATGAAGCTGGCCTCAGATGAACGATTTCAACTATTAACGGAAGTAAGAGAATGTCCAATTCTATGGATAACAACTGGTTTATTGCATGTAGTGATGTTTCGATGTAGATTCTTACATCATTATCAAGCTGGAGTGATTAATGGAAGAAGGATTCATTAAAAAAAATAACATGGTGTATAGACTCCATTTGACACACTGGGAAATGTTGGGGTTTTTTTTCATATTTTCTTGGCTATTTCTATCTTCATGAGGACAGTAAAATGTTTTCCTTTTGTTGTGTTTTGTGTTTGGGGTTTTTCGATAGCCATGAAAATTTTGCTAGTTATGGAACATTTGTGCATCCCTGTGCTACTGTTTTACTATTTTATTTCTGTTATATTTTTCTGATAATTTACTTCGGAGTGCCTGAACGTGAGAATGTTTAGACTGTATGTGAAACTTGCATAGTACTTATGTTTATCTTCCATTTTGATTTCAAGGTATGATCATAATTTCTTTGTTACTTTTTTTTTTTTTTTAACTTTTCAATTGTTCTTTTGAAGCTGATGCAATGGTCCTTGCATTAAACTGCAACCAAGTTTGAAATAATTGTTTTAGAATTCCTATCATGCCTACTGTAGGATATGATCATCTCGAACGGGATACACTGCAGCTTTATACTTGGACGTTTTCTGTTTTGTACTATCTTTTTAAAAATGATGTTAAAAAAGTTAACTCTAAAAAGAATTATGTAGATACAACACATTTCTGCCGAAATACTATAGACTGTTGGTATGGAGATATATTGTATATTAGAATCTTATTGTAAATTGAGAATGATTGTATCTTATATACATTTTATAGCTTCCTGTACCTATGGTGTGATGTTAGAACTACAATCCATCTTGGAAATGTATGATCACTAGAAACGGCGTTGTTGTATAATGTCATGTGATACAATGTATAAAACAGTATTGTGTAAGTAGTCTCACTTGAGATTTGAGAACTAGTGGCTGTTGTTTTGACTCTAGCTAGACACTAGTCGCATAGATTCAGGGATTGAAATTAAATCTTGCAAGAGGACTTACATATATGAATTTGGGTACAATTTGGATGTTTGTATGCATTACAAGTTCCAATTTTAATTTCTCTCTGTGATTCATTGTGGTGTTTACAAGTTGTTAAATATCTGAATGACATACACAACTTCATACACAATTATGCAAATTTTCTTGAACGAAATCCATATCAATCATCTTTTGATTTTGATCCCTGCATAGTGACAGTTTATCATCATCAATACACCTGGTACACAGCAGTCTACTGTTTATATTACAGATGGGTCTATTGTTCTTGCATCTCCTTCATCAGCTTGTAGACTGACACTAACAGAAGAAATCAGCTTCTTTTGTCCCTCAGAGGAACAGGCTTAGGCTAAGTGTTCCACTGAAGGTGTCACAAAAGTATGCAACAAATTTGTAGCTATATACATGACTAAGTCTATATGGTGAGATTTGGATAAACTTTAGACATGATAACAGCATGCAACTTTCGCCACTAGTCGGAAGCCCTAAATCAGTAAAATTTCCTATCTAGTAAGCTCAGATGTTAATAGTTCATGAAATAACAATAACATCTGCTGACATAGATGCTAAGAAGGAGGTTCAGGCTATGAGATGCTAATGTTTTTGGCACAGATTGTGATAATGGTAAATGGTTCTATACACTGTTAATTTAAGTTATGCAAGGTAGAGAATATTTGGTTACCTACGTCACCATTCCCTTGTTATAGGTGTTCAGTGCTACAGGACACCAGGGGCGGTCGGGTAGCCTAGTGGTTAAAGCGTTCGCTCGTCATGCCGAAGACCCGGGTTCGATTCCCGACATGGGTACAATGTGTGAAACCCATTTCTGGTGTCTCCGCCATGATATTACTGGAATATGACTAAGAGCGGCGTAAGACCATACTCACTCACTCACTCACTCACTCACTCTCCCACTACATGACACCATGTTCATGTTAAAGTTGTATCAAAACAAGGCCTGGGGTCCCATTGTAACCAGGAGTAGCTTCTTATATTCTCCATGACTGATCCATCTGTAATAACACTAACAGTGCTTCTAAATTAGTCCATTCAATTAGTGTACTAAATGTTTATGTCATGTAAAAAGTTGTATGATAGCTTCACCTAGTTTGGGGCCCTCAATCCGAAGTGAATGTGCTTTTGAACATGTTTGTAGTGTGTCTAATTCCATCACTTTTAGATTCCACTGCTAATTTAATGATCTTTTCTTAAACTTACTGTATATTTGCGTTGCAACTCTATGATACTATGCTGTAAAAAAAAAAATCCATTGTTCACTTGTGTAAATGGTGTGTGTCCTGTGGCAACAGACATACCCAGTTGATGCAGTTGCTAACATTTATGTCTTCCCAGATAGTCAGATCTTCAAGTAACTCCCAGCGTGGTGTTATGTTTGCATAGATTGCTTATGCCTTGTTTGTTGTAAGATAACTTTGTGATTTTGCAGAGGTTGCGGCTTATGTTGTTTCAGTTGATGACAAATGTACATTTACTTTTATCGAAGGCCTGTGTTGTTCCGAATCTATGTATATTGGAGAATTCTAAACCTACCAATGTTGTTTCAGCCCTCCCTTTGCTTGTTGATCCTTACTGATGTTTCCTGTTGCTGGTGTATATATTTGTGAAAGATCGAGGAAGTTGCAAGCATAATATATAAGTACTACAAATTCCCTGTGTTGTACATCGCAGATACATCCTAATTCCAAGTGATGAATATTTGTTTAAGGTTAAATGCTTCAGACATAATATCCTACACGGTTTGTGTGGTCTGTGGATGAAAGATCTTAGAAGACTACACTATGTATTCTTCATCATCATGTGTTGTGTATGACATCATCACTTTCTGAGTATGACATCATCAGTAACAGTGTTGTATGGTTCTAGATTAAGTGGATTTCTTCATATCTATGGCAAGATTTTAACTACAGCTTGAACACATAACATGTTTCACTGCTTTGTCAGTATACAGTTTGTATTAAGTCAATGCTTACTGAACCAACTATGCTTTTTGCAGCTAATCTTTTGACGGTTAAACTTCCTCCTATTCTTTCTTGGCTTTCATTCAGATTTTCGAATTTAACAATGATCTCAAAGCTGCTGCTAGAACTTCCTGTAGCTATAAAATATAGCGAGCCAGGTAAATAACCATGCAATATAACTAGGTTCCTTTAAGGGGACTCATCACTGAAATAAGGCTGGGATGCTTATTACTTCCTTGAGTCTGCCAATCAACCAACTGACTGGCCGACTCACCAGCCACGTGTCATGATGCCTGATTTCAGCGATAAGTCTGCCTGTACAGGCTTTAAAGTTACGATCCAACCAAGATGGACCCTAACGCTTGTAGTAGGAAAGGGCTGAGCTAGTCATGTGACGTGAAATAGAACACGGCAAGGCGTCATGTGACTGTCCGAATCTATATACAAGGACGGCAGTCAAGGACAGATTCACAGTCAGATAGCGCGTTGTTCTGAAGTTGTGTGATTGTGAAATTATGGCCTCTAGAACCAGACAAGGCACACAGTGTTGTTTTTCAGAATGCGTATTACTTCTGGAGTACAACGGGGAAATGCTTGTTTCCCTGTGTTGTATTTGAGCAGTTGTATGCAGCCTGTGTGGTATAGGAGTGTGCACTGTGGTGTAGAATGTTGTGACTGTCTGCCCGTGGCGTTCAGAAGGGTAGTGCCTGGTTGTGTGCACAGACAGGTAGAAATGTTCTTGTTGTCGTGGTTATTTATTGTGATAACACCATTACATCAATAAATTATTATAAGTTCAGCAAAGTGTTGTTATATTTCAGAGGTGTGTGCTGTTGTTTGTTGAGTGCCTAAACTGGTATTCTTTGTCTTTCGACCAAAGAAAATATATAGTGTGTTTCCTGTTTCAGCCTTTCCAAAAAGGGGTTGGACAGATTGTTTGGTTTGTTTTACTTTATTTCTTCTTTGAAAGAGTGGTGGGTTAGCCCAGTGGTTAAAGTGTTTGCTCATCACGCAAAAGGCCCCAGTTCGATTCCCCACACGGGCCCTATGCATAAAGCCCATTTATGGTGTCCCCAGCTGTTTCTAAAACCAGCATAAAATCCAACTTTCTAACTCACTCTTATTTGAAAAGTACTAAAACTTGTATCCTGCTTTCAAATGACTAGCTTATGTATAGTGAAACACAACACATTTTTGCTCGTGGCATGAAATATGGACAATCAAGAATCATGATACAAGTTTGGTGCAACAAGAGAAAAAAGGTTTATGTCTGGGGGCTCCAGATTAGGGTCAGTCCGAAAACCGGAAACACATATATAGATATTTTTGGCCTTGACTGTTTCAAGGATGAAAGCAAGAGAGTATTGTATTAATATGATGAATTTGATCAGCTGAAATTGATTGGTCTCGATAATAAACTTATGCATGACATTCCTCAGGTCAGCAGTACCAAAGATTTCATGGAATATATTTACTGTATAACCCTTCCACATCCAGGAGTATGAAGGGTTGTATCAATTCGGTTCAGGGGGACAATGGGTGTAGCCTAGTGGTTAAAGTGTTTGCTTATAATCAAGGCCGATGTTTAGTTCCCTGCATGGGTGCAATGTGTGAAGTCTTTTATTGTGTACCTTGAGATGGTATTCCTAGAATATTGCTAAAAGGGCATAAAAGCTCACACTCACTCACTCACTCACTCACTCACTCACTCACTCACTCATTTCCACTGCATATTGAGATGGGTCTCTATACCAAGCATCTCACAATCCATGACGTATGAGTAAGTGAGTACAGTTTTACGCCGCTTTTAGCAATATCCCGGTGCAGGACAACAGAAATGGGCTTCACACATTGTACCCATGTCGGGAATCAAACCCAGGTCTTCGGCGTGACGAGCAAACGCTTTAACCATTAGGCTACCCATGACATATGAGCAATGGTGACCTTTCATATGTGTGTTCTTGCTGTCATCCACTTGTATTAGTTACATGGTGAGCTATGACGGGATGCAGCTGGAATATGGCTGCATATTGAGTTAAGCAATTTTCATTAACTGACACCGGATATTGACAGTCAATGGATCAGGTCTAGACAGGTATTGACAATATCTAATTTCACATCAATGTGCAATGTGTGCCATCTGGTCTGGACGGGCAATTGCAGTACCTCATATTGACCATTCAGTCCTACTCTCTTTATGAAAGCCCCGAGATGGTTTTATGGTAGATAAAATAACCCACAGATCTAAGAAGCCCATCAGTTGTGCCCATCTATGTTATGGTGGAATCATGGTAAGCCCATTGGTCCAACACACAGCAATAATAGCTGTGAAGAGTTACCCCTCCCAGCCATGCCAGGATCTGCTGATCACAAGGCTTCCTTAGGACCGATTTGTCGTATACAAATACCAAGCTTGTGGGTTTTACCAATGTGGAAAACACCTATAAACTAGATCACAACAAGCCAAACTATAACCAAAGCCAACTCACTCACACTGTGTTGTGGTTACTACAAAACTCTTTATTACCTCTTGTTTAAATGCTTGTCGTAAGAGGCGACTAATGGGATCAGGCTCTCTGACTTGGTTGATGCATGTCACGTATCCAAATTGCGTGGATTGATGCTCATGATATCAATCACTGGATTGTCTGGTTCCGACTTGATTATTTCAGACCACCATCATACAGCTGGAATAACTGAATCAGCGTTAAACAACAAACAAACAAACAAAAACAAATTTGTTTAGATTCAAACTAGATGCAGTAAACTCATGTGAAAATATGTCCTGGTTAACTTAACCTTTTCTTCAAACCACAGTCATACATGTGAAATGTTTCGAATTCCTATCCAGTAAAACAAGAGGTTGATGAAGTCTTGCTGCAGAGACCCAAACAGGATGTATATACATGTCACTTTGTACACAGATTTAAATAATGAGTCTCAGGCCAGCCTATCAGGAGCACATGGTGCAGGAAATAACTGTAAGACTCTTGTGGTTTATACAGCCCAGGAGTAATGAGCTGCTATTTCCATCGGTGTCCCGAGTATGTGAGGACAGACACTGCCCGGGGGCCTCTTCCACAGTGCAGTGGCTACAACTCTCATTACACTTTAACATGGACTCACAATTGACAATTGTGGACCTTTAAAGATCCGGGGTAAAATAGATTTTCGGCTGTTCATGCTTTCTGTAAAAGACTACGATGCTTGTAAGAGGGCGATTAACGGGATCGGGGAGTCAAGTTCACCCACTTGGTTGATGCATGTCTTGGTATCCCAATTGTGTGGATCGATGCTCATGATATCAGTCACTGGATTGTCTGGTTCAGACTTGATTATTTACAGACTGCCGTCATATAGCTGGAATATTACTGAGTGCAGCATTAAACAACAAACAAACAAACAAACAAACAAACACAATTGACAAACGGATTGCCCGATTATATTTCTAGGAATACACAATGCCATTTAGAAAGTGGTCAAATGTAACAAATGTTATATTTGGGATAACACTTTCTTAGTAAAGTACAGATTCTCGTACTTTTTTGGGTTGAGTCCTGTCCGGGATTCAAACCCACACTTGCCAGAGTGAGGCACCTAATTGCCAGCACACAAAGTCAGCAATCTAACCCACTCAGCCACCGAGGCTTCCACAAAAACGAAAGTCCGACAACTGGTAGTCTAGATCACGTACTTTGAGTACTCCTCTGACAAGTGTAAATTGACACGGCTCCCATGGCCGAAAGCTATGAATACACAATGCCATTTAGAAAGTGGTCAAATGTAACAAATGTTATATTTGGGATAACACTTTCTTAGTAAATATATATTTGTTATATATTCCTAGGTTTGTCAGCACGATACCCGTGCTCATGGGTTTTAGCAAAGTGGTAAACGTCTGAAACCTGCATCACTTTGGGCCTTCCTCCCACATTAAGCTGACACTCTGTGATATAACTGCTATACTGTTGCAATTGGCGTTAAACTCAAGTCACTCAGCACTCACAATTGTCAAAACACCCAGATGGCGTGAGAGCTGTATGTCATCTTCCACACATACTTGCACTTGTATTATGAATCTGCTTCCTATCTTTAGGAGGAATTTGAGATATAAATGAAATACTATTCAAAGTCAGCATTACACCCAACTTTCTCACTGACCATTCGTGATAGGCTCAACAGGTGGTAATGTGTTCCATGTTTTCCTAAGGGTGTGCCCCTGAACCTAATCTCATTATGTGTATTAGTCTAACATTATGATTATCTTCCAAAAGTAAATATCACCAAAAGAGATGGGCTTTATTTGCAGCTACTCCTAATCATGCTGTCTTAAAAACTTACATTTTGGAAGTGACCTTGACATTTGCAAGGTCAAGGTGAACACAACTTTAATCCACAGTGGTAGGCAACTATCAATCGGGGGGATTCTCAGACTGCCCCACCAAACACATAAACACTGACAATCTGTTACGAAGTTAACCATGCATACTCAATCATTCCCCACAATCCCTTCACCAAGTCTGCCCACTGAGGCTTCAGGCAGGGAAATGGTAGGATTGTACGTTCCTCTAGAACAAGATCAATAGAGTCGTTTGCAGCAGTAAAGGCCATCCTGATTGAGGCAATGAATATAATCTGATTTAGTGTGGTAGTGGTAAGAATGTTGGTATTGATCCACGGCAAGCGCTGGCAGATCGGAGGGAGAAAGTGCTCTTGTAGGTAGAGGCAGAAATTGTATCACAGGGGGGCTTGCTCCTCACTCGTTACCGTAGTTACAGGAGAAAAAAAGATGAAGAAAATTGGAATTGATTTGTTATTGAGATGACATTTAATTGTTGGTGTGCTTTTAGAGTTGAGGGATGTTTTTGGACAATTAGAATTCAGAATGTGAGAATGTGACACGACTCTCATGAGATGATTGAATGTGAAATATTTAATCTTGTAAGGCAATATTCAGCATGGACATGTATTTGGTTACACTGTCCTTCACCATGTAGCATCTAGACAAGGCTGGTTACACTGTCCTTCACCATGTAGCATCTAGACAAGGCTGGTTACACTGTCCTTCACCATGTAGCATCTGGACAAGGCTGGTTACACTGTCCTTCACCATGTAGCATCTAGACAAGGCTGGTTACACTGTCCTTCACCATGTAGCATCTAGACAAGGCTGGTTACACTGTCCTTCACCATGTAGCATCTAGACAAGGCTGGGTTGAGGGAAGGAGAAACACTGCTAAATGTCAATATGCAAATCCAATTTAGGGCACCAAACAAAAAACATTCTATTACGTTTTTATTGAATTGGGTTCAGTTGCTTCATTTATTTCAAAATTAATAGGAAAATCATCAGTGAGGTGGAAATGCCGTCTGCCAGTATCTTCTCGTAAATCAAACAGGACAACCCTCGAGGTGGAATTGTAACCTGGTTCCGTTGTTGGTTCTCACAAGCTTAGTGCTTCCTGTTGGTTGGTTTGTTGTTTAACGCCGCACTCAGCAATATTCCAGCTATATGACGGCGGTCTGTAAATAATTGAGTCTGGACCAGACAATCCAGTGATTAATACCAAGAGCATCGATCCACGCAATTGGGATCAATGACATGCATCATTCAAGTCAGCGAGCCTGACCACCTGATCCCGTTAGTCGCCTTTTACGACAAGCATAGTCACCTTTTACGGCAAGCATGGGTTGCTGAAGACCTATTCTACCCCGGATCTTCACGGGTCTTAGTGCTTCTGGTCAACAGGTATGGCCCATAAATGAAGTACAAATCTGTACCATATTGGTTAAAGGTGT